TCTGCATATGATTTTACTCTCTCTCTTTTTAAAAAAAAAAAAAAGTTTTTCTATAGAAACCCAATTAAAAAAGTCCAGGAGCACGCAGCTGGTTAACGTTAACAAAAGACCTTGACAGGATCATGTAAACTATACTGGATGTCATGCCTGGGGCCTTACTGCCAGCAATAGTAGATAGTTGTTTCATTAAAAGTGAATACTGTACACTGAGTATGGTATAACTTTCTGCAGCCTTCATAATCTCACACAGTAAATATAATTTAGATTTAGGTACAGAACACACTCCGGTGTCACAGCTGAGTATGTCCTTGTGCAATCTCTTTCACTAAGTCCTTATGAAGCTACAAGTTGCAAATCCAAAATTCTGCTCCCTGAGGACACAGCTATGTGAGACATAAGTACTGTTTTAGTTCTCTGCCTATCCTGAATTGCTCTATGAACCTAATCTTAAATACCAACATGTAACAATCACAAAAACTTTTGCTAAAGGCCATATATACTAATAAAAAGACAGTGGTGCTTCCAACATTTTGAAATGCTCTGAAAACCAACTTTTTGAATACTAAATACAACAAAATAACCTTCATAAAATATAACTTTTCTCCATTTACATTTTTAAAGGATTAGTAACCTCTGCTTTTCAAGCACAGGAATCTGTGAAATAACTCCTAACATGGACAGACTTTGTTTTTAATACATAAATTAAGAAACTGGAGAGTTTTAACCCAAGTCCAGTTTCCAAACAAGGAATATTCCTGTTTACTTTAAAAATGGAAATTACATGCATTTCCATTGTAATTGTTAAAAAGTTAGCTTTACAAACAAGGGTATTTTAATTAAAAAAAAATTCTTAACAAAACTATACAGTGTACAAATTACTGTCTACAAGGTAGGCGGTTCATTCAGAAGATCCTCCTTTCTTCTCGCTACTTGCAGCTTCACAAATTCATTCACATATTTTCAAAAGAGCTGCCCACCTGAACATCACCCCACAACTATATTGCTATAATTAATATTTTTGCCATGTCTTTATGTACAGTCTCCTTCACTGCCTTTTTTTTTTCCTTAGTCAAGCCTCAAACGTTCATGTCACGCTAGGGGAAACACACTTCAGTGGCACAGCCATGAGGCCAGGGCTGCAAAGCAACTTAATAAAGGCAGAACAGTGCACATAGAACGGGGTGGCTCGATTTAGTCAGAATACACTTCCTGGTGAAGGAGGAGGCCAGAGACTGGATTTGAGTTCTCAGTCTTATCTTAATCTTTTGACTGTTGAGCTAAAAAAAAATTTAAAAAAAATTTAAAAAAAAAGAAAAAAAGACCCACAACCAAACCTACAATAAATGAAATGTTCATTTTCTTTCAAACAGGCTTTTCTATTAGAGAGGCAGGTGGAAAAAACCCACAGTTGCTTAACAACCCAATTCATTCACACTGAAGAAAGGAGTTTGCTTTTTAAAATATTGCATCTGTAAGTTCATTTTGTTTCATACAGGAGGTCAGAGATAACAAAAAAGCTCTGTTAAGGGCATCCATCTCCCTGCAAGGGCAATCATCATTTTGACTATTGCGCTTTGAAGCCTGAACTTGTTTCAGTTTCATCCCGGTGTGCTATTCAAAGCTTAGGGGGGACACCTTGCTAACAGCACTGATCAATGACATCTTCCCAGCACAATCCTCTGCTCCCCAACTCCTCTGTTACCAGTGGTGTGCGGAAAGGACAATATGTACTTTGTTTCACCAGGCCAGAGCCTGAAGTGCACTCTGGGTGGGTCTAGTACATTTTGGTAATCTCAGTACCCGTGTGTGGTTAATGAACTAATTCATTTACCACGGAGCTCAGAAAAAAACAGAGCATCGAGTTGATTTTCATTGTCTTTCAGTGCCTTACCTTTTCACGTGGAGTTTTCTTTTTTTTTTTAGTTTAGCTGCAGACAAATCTCAAGTGTTTGCTTTTCTACAGCTCCTGTCTCTGTAGCCATTTAGGCCCTCCCTACGCACATCTCTCCTGCCTGAGATGTGGGAATGTGCCACCACCAGGGCTTGCTGCCCGCCGCACGCTGCCCACAGCCAGAGGGACTGACTGTGGTGTGCCCCTGCCCGGAGCCCAGTGGGGTAGCTGTTCCTGGAGCTGCACCTCCAGGGCTTCTCCAGGGTAGGAAAACTCCCAAAATGAAGAGACAACCACAAAAGGATTAGTTTTCCCACCAGGGTATCCCATATCCACAAGTCTATACTCTCCTCTGCTTACGCCCTACTAAAAGGATGTGCTTTTAAGAAAAATTCACCCTGTGCTGAGCCCTGCATCACAAAGATCCCTGGTGCATAAGAGGTCTCCAGCAAGAGGCCCACTACTGATCTGCAAAATGTGACTTTACTGGAAAAACACTTTTATTCACATCATAGTCTAATTCTGTGCATTAAGAAACTCCTTCCTCGCTACAGCCCAGAGCTCTCCATCTGACCTGCTGTATGAGAAGACACTGCAAACCTCTGACATGGGCTGAGCAGGCTGAAAATTTTAATTCAGATGCTGTGAGTTAACAAACTTGGGGGCGGGGGGGGGGGGGGGGGGGAGGATATTTTTATGTAGATAAAAAAAAAAAAAGGGGAATATTTACCAGTTAGGCAGAATAAGGGAGGAAAATTCTCTGCAGGAGCAACTCCAGAGTCAACTAGAGTCAGTGGAGTTATGTCAGCATAGATTTTGGCCCTGTACGTGTATTTCCTAGACAAAGCAAATGTCTTTGTCATTCTGAGCTAAAAACATTTTCTAACGCGAACACTTTAGGATGCAGAACCTTTGCCAGAATGGAAAAGACTTCATCTCACTGTGGATCTTGACCTCTTTCTCTCAGTCTGTCTGTCTGTGTCTCTCCCTCTCTTTCTCTTTCTCAAGAAAAAAAAACTTACAAGTAAAACAATTTCCTCAAGTCAAGTCTGCCTCCAACAGAATTCATTATTTATTTTTTTAATCCAGAAATGATTTCAGCTTGCACCCCAGGTGGGAAGTTAAAAAGAGGGAACCGATTTGAAAGTTTATCACAGTAGGCAGAACAGTCGCTTTGCAGCCCTTGCCTGGCTAAGGGTGCACTGCTTCACAGCTACACTGTAAAGTGTTAAAAATCCTCCCCACCCGCCCCAGAATATATATATATGTATGTATAAAAAAAAAAAAATCCCCTGTCCACCTCTCAGTACAGAAAAGGACCTCATCACACTGCAAAAATAGCAGTACCCACTTTGGTCAATTAAAACAAACAAAAAAAGCATACATTATTCTTTTTTTTTTTTTCTTTTAAATCTGTGTACTTACCTATAATAACCAATACAGCTAAAAGCACTACCTACATAGGCAAAACTTGGTATTGCATAATTCGTATAAATTTGTATCCCCTCCCCCCAATATTAATTGGAAGATGAAAAACATGAAAGGTTAATAGAAAAAACACCAAAATACTGAAAATATTGCTGGTCGATTACAATTTTTAAGCGGCAACTATACACAGCCATGATATGCTTTATAAATGTGAGATAAAGGTATAACTGTCTAAAAAATCCATGATGTCACACTTTTTTCCCATCCGGAGTACAAAATATTTTGTCATAAAAATGGTAAGGATTTAAAATTATAATAAATGCAGCAAAACAAGTGTAGTGATGTCAAATTTTTTTGTGTTTTTTTTTCTTTTTTTGTTTTTTTCCATTTTTTAGATTTCAAGGCAAGGCACGTAATGTGGACATTATATCTTCGTGCAAATTAGGATTAATGGAAAGAGTATTTTAATTCTTTTTTAAAGAGACATAGAGGCAAAACGTCTGCCCATGCACATTATATTTCTGTCAATATGTGAAAATTGTTGAACAAGGCTAACTTCTGAAAGCACCATGCAAGTTTTCAGCACCCTGTAACTAGAATTACACTGAGTGCATTATTTAAATATAACATATCCCCATCCTGGTATTACCAGTTTGTAAACGGTAAGCTTTGCCCTTGTGACATGGATTTGCCTATCTTTTTGTCTCTATGATGTAGATTTTACAGAAACATGTAAACCCCACGGGTTCTTGATGCAACCAGTAACTTTAAATAAATAAATCCTACCCCTCTCTGCGGAGGCAGCAGCTAAACCAACATAAGTGCTGTGTTTCCATTGAATTCTTTTTCTCAAGGACATGATTTGTCTTGATTTAATGCCTTTTAATGCCCTCAAAAACTGAGGGGAAAAATAAGTTTGTTCAAAGTAATTTTTGTTTCTATTTTTAATCCCCTCAATTTAGAGTCCAAGGGCTGAAGGACTTATAGTGATGACCCCTTAGATACCATTTTTAAATTGCACTTGCCTCTGTGTTTCTTTAATGGATAAAATGTTCACTTTTTTCTTTTTTTTTTTTTTTACTGTTGCATGAGGAGATAACACTTTTACCTACATAGAGGCATTTCTTCCATAGAGCCCGTGTGTTCATACTGATTTAAAACTTCAAACTGCATAACACACTAGAAAAGGCTGAATTAAGGGCCAAAGTTTAATAAATCCATACTGATAACTAAAGGCTACAGAGCTTATTTTTAAAACATTTAGAAATCAGAATGTTAAGAAAATGCTTGGCTCACAGCCCTTGTCCTCCTGCAGCTCTGTTGCTGCTGCCTAGCCTTTGTTTTGTGAGATAACCAGGAATAGTGATCCCATGCGTAAACAACAAGAATACTAAACCAATAAAACTAGCTTATCATGCAAATATTAAGGCATCTAGAAAGTCAGTTAAAATATATTGTCGGAGACAGAACATCTATTTCCCAGCGAACTTCATATAACAAAGGCTACATAGCAGGGGCTGCATTCTACCCATCAGTGAAATATCATCGACCCTTTATATGTCGTTTCAGTTTCAACCATAAGGGAATTAGTGATTGTAAGAGCTGCAATTGCTGGTCTATTTTTTCTTCTTCTTCAGTTTCTTTTCTCATCCTGTCTTCCTTTCTTTTTTTCCCTCATTTTTAATTTTGCTTTTATTTTTTCTTTCCTCAGTTGCTCGTTTCTGCTTGAAGGAAAGGCTCTCCAATTATGTTCAAACCATAACTTGTGACATTTGTCGGCAGGATCGGTGTCCTAGTTGATACTTGAAAAGGAACCAAGCTAGCCCAAGTACCAGGACTGTTGAAAAGGGGAAAGAGAGAAGGAGACAAAGAGAGAGAGAGAAAGAAAAAACACATATATTAAACACATTGCGAAAACTAGACCACAATGAATTTGAATCAGGGTAAAGCAAATATTCATAATAGCACTACCTAAGACAAAATAAGAAACAAAATTTGTGAATATTGAGATTCTACTTCACAGTTTTCTTTGTGAAAGTATGACTTATTTGAAAGAAAAAGAACTATGTTGACCTCAGCTGCTAGTAATATTACTGCTGTCTTACACTAAGTTGACTGTTTATGAAGGTCCCCAAAAATTTCAGACACAAATATATTGAGCAGACACAACTAAACCATAGAAGTGATATTGTATGGCACCACGAATGATATCTAAGAGCTACTGTAATACATTACAGTGTACAGGCTTGCTCTTTTCAAGAACACAATATAAAAATTCAGTGGTTAAGCTACCTCTGCTATTTCCTACCCTCTTACAACCCAGCAGTTTACCATGTTTCAGTCCCAAGATGTGCCTCTGAGGTGCAAGGGTCCCCCTGAGAACAGAGGACCTTTAATATTCAAAAAACCTGTTTTCTTTACAGATTTTTCCCAAAGGTATCAGCACCTAAGGAACACTGGATAACACAGGGCCCAATCAGGTCCTTGGAGCCAAGGGTAGCCATGAGTACCATAAATTTTTTGACAATCATCTGAGAAAGAAAATATTTTCAAAGGCAATTCAATGACTTTGGAACTTAGGTCATCATTTCAAAAGTACTCTTGTCACTGAGGAGCTAAGTCCCAATGGCATTCACATGCTTACCAGGCACCAACACCCAACAGTACTTGCAAGATGGATACTCAGAGGAAGACCTCAGCCTCATCTATTCAGTACCTCAGAGCAGACCCTGAGTAGCCTTTTCCTCGGATGTCTTTCTGGCAACCCAGAAATAATGGACTTTAGAGAAAGTCTCGTCAAATTTATTCTGAAGAAAAACAGCATTATTATGTCTGCAACCCTTGCCAAGCAATTAACAACAGAACTGGACACACAGCATGCAAACACATGCTTCCTCCCCATTTCATTGTGTCAAGTTTTTCTCCACACTAAGTGTTTCCTAGTGGAAAAAATTGCTGACCTGTTTGTCTTAATGATGGTCAAATTCTGAACGGAGCAGGACTAATCTTTTTCATCAAGGAAATAGAATAAATATTAATATCCTAAAGTATTTTAAATGCCTGAAGTAAAAATATTAATCAATAGGTGTGGTGGTTTGTTTGTTTTTTTTTTTTTTTTTTCTAATTGGGTGTAGTCTTGAAGATCACCCAAAAATCTGGGGAATTTTAACCTCTTCAGAAATTAAAAAAATCTTGCTATATATTTAAAATTTAAGATCAACTAATGTGTTTAATTAAAGATTTTTTGTAATCTATTGACTACTACAAATAAAATAAATTCTGTTGTTGGAGAGATAACCCCTTTTCAAATTCAAAAATCACAGTTGTACCACAAATCTTGAAATATTCACAAAGACTTAAACCCAGTTATGCATTAAAGATTTGTCCAATATGATCTGATGAAAAGATTATGTTTCAAAAAAAAATTCAATACCAGAACCTCATTTAAGAGGCTGAATTGTTTCAACTTGTTCTTCGTCTTCCCTCACAATTTGTTTTAAAATGCATTTTTTGTTCCTTCCTCTTCAGATTTCAGTGCTGTTAAGAAGTAAATTCTGAAATAACAAACAAGGCAAACTGTTTCCAAGCGCAGGGATTTGTGAAAATAGGAACTAGTAATAAAAAATAAAAATAAAAAAACCAAGCAGACTAGTTTGCTTAGGATCTTTGTGAATATATCTTTTACAGTGCACAGGTCTTTGCTGTCCTCTTACACAGAATTTAGAGTGTTTAGCGACTTTAAACAAAATAGAACACTAACTAAAAGAATGTAAATTTTGTGTGAAGTCACCATGGTATTTAAACAATTTCTGTTGCAAAGGCTAAATACTCTGCTTCCAGGTTATCTTTCTGGAGATTTACAGTCTACTGAAGTCGTTGGATACATATACATGCAACCTTTTTTCCTTGTTTTAAACTTGACAACCTTCTAATGACTACAGTGGGTGAAGGAAAGCAGCTAGTGCTGATAAAGAACAAATTACTATTTGTAGCATATTTCTTGTCTACTACTTCATATAGGAGACAGACGTCTTGATTTTGTGGAAAGTGCTCAATAAAAACAAGTTGTACCAGGTTGCCATATGACCTACAAATTTAATATAGGTGTTTATTTAAACCTTTCAAGCCTCCCACTTGATATTGTGACCATGACAAAAATGTGGATTGCAACAAACTCATCAATGCTGCTTATGAATCCTCAAGGAGTAATGAATCTTCCATGTTAACACCATATTGATCCCACAGGAGTCTCAGAAGCTTCTCACGTTGCTTGCACGGAGCATCCTGCTGCTGCTGCCTGCCAAAGACGGTGGGGCAGGCGGCGGAGCACCTGTGGCACCAGAACAGCTACACACCAGGACAGCTACACACAGGACAGCTACACTCCAGGAGAGATACACACCACCTGTGTGCAGTGGCTGCGAAAGCCGTCGCTTTGACACCTCTGAAAGCGGACTGAAGTCTCTGGTCTACATGGACCCATTGGGCAGGGGCTGGCCCCACTGGCAGCTGGGAAGGACAGCACTTCCTAAGCCATGATCTTTGAGGCTTGACAAGCTCCAGTTGTATTTTAGAAATTAACCTTATCACACTGCAGTTTGATGTAATGCTATCTCGGGCCACCCCAGTCCTGATACCACCACCAAGTGTTTACTGCAGACAAAAGAGGAAACCTGAATGAAAGTTACTGAGGTGAATAGGACTAATCACAGCACAAATCTGAGAACAGCTATGGTACAAACAACAAAAAAACCCCTCCGGCTGTGCGAAGCTGCGTATGTATGGCTGTCTATCCAACATTCCCACATACTCTATCACATTTACAGTAAATTTAGCCAAGCTTTCAACTACCATATGAGCCACACCCTGCTTTGTAGCTCTGTACTGCTCCTGATTACAGACAAGACAGACTGACAGCCCAGAAGAGGAAGGTCCCTGTCAGGTTTCTCAAACCTGCTCTGAAGGGACCTCCGTGAGCATCGCAGAGTTTAGCTTCTGCCATGGAAACCATCCAGGTTTCTCTGCAGCATCTTAGCAGAGTGCCAGTTACTGCTGACTGCAGAGCACACTCTTCCTGGGGGCCCACATGGGTGGCAACAGTGGAAAAGGGGAAAACACCTTTCCCTTCACCACATGATGCAGCAGTTTGCATAATTCCCAGTTAAACTTCCAGCCCTCGGTTTCACAAAAGCGGAGGCAATGCTCTGTCTCTGTTCACTAAGAGCCTCAACACGGAGGAAGGCAAGACT